CTTCTCCAGCCCAGCTGTCCCCAGACTGCAGATTGGGCGATGAACCCAGGACACAGCTTCTCAGTGAGCCAGGGCTGGAACCGCGTGTGTGGGGCAGATCCCCCAGCGGCCTTGGGTACTCTGCAGATAAACTCCCATCCGCGGTCCTGGGACTCCAGCATGTGTTCAGGGTGCAGTGGGGACAGTTCAGCATCCACACACACCCAGTGTGTCCAGTGGTCACCCAGGCCTCAAGCAGGGGCTCCTTGCTCCTTCAAAACACCGTTCTGGCCCATGCTGTGTACCTCTTTTGTCTTTGGGGGTTAGGACCCTCGCTGTCCTGCTGGCTTTCCCTCTATAGCAGACACTGGCCTGGCCAGCCAGGACAAGCCATGCCAGGGTGGCCAAGTGCTGCTTTCCTGGTACCCAGGGACATTGCTGCTACCTGGCCAAAGAGAGGCACAGCCAGCCTCAGACGCAGCCTCTGGGCCACTCGTCTCCCATATATGTGTACACCCCAGGACCATCTTGGGAGGCCCCAGCCCCACCTGGCTGGGTCTTGCTGACCCTGCTATGAGCATGGGGCCCTCCTGGCCTAGTCCCACAGCCTACAGGAGGCCATGCATTTCCCAGAGGTGACAACAGTTGCAATGCTGCTGGCTCTGAGCCTTTGTGTACTGAGAAACTGCAGGCCCAGTGTCTGTCCTCTGCCCTGTGGAGCCCACCTGAGGTCCTGTGTGCACAAGTTGGCAGCTGCTGTCCCCAAGCAGAGGGGGAAACAGGCACAGAGAGGTGAGGCAGAGGGTGGCCCTCAGCCCAGCCTGTGTTCCCCATCAAGGCTGGGCCCAGCTGGAAGGCAGCAATTGCCTGAGCTTCGGAAAGAACAGGGCGTGGTGGGTGAGTCCAGCCTGCTGCTCCCCAGGGCTGCCAGCTCTCAGAGGGCCGGGCAGAGGGGATGCAGTAAGGCAGGGCCTGTGCAGCCTCTGGTGGGTGTGGGATCACACACACCAGTGCAAGTGCCACATGCCTGGCACCCTCCTCACACTCATGCCCATGGACTTGGACACAAGGTCCTGCCCTGCTGTGTGTGGGTACACACACTTCCTGGGGTACTCAAGGCTTGAGGTGCTCACCCGAGCCCAGGCCAACGTGGGACCCTGACTTCCTGCACACCTTGCACCTGCACAGTCCCAGCCTGTGCCACCTCCAGCTCCTCCACTGCAAACTGAGCCAGCAGGTTCTCAAGGTTCTCTGTGTTCTGCAGTCTCAGCCGTTGCTCTCCTTGGGGCACAGTGAGGGCGCTAATGCCCCCTACTGGTGGCCTTGTGTCCTGGTCTGGGGCATCACCCAGCACACTAGTGTGGGAGGAGGGCAGTGCTGGCTGCAGCTGAGGCCTCAGGGAGTAGGAACCCGAGCTGAGATGGGAACAGCTGTCCCCTGGGGCCCAGAGTTTTGAGAGGGGCATCTAGCTGACCCCAAAGGTCTGGGGCCCCTGAGTACTAGAGCTGCTGCACCAACCCTTCCTCTCCTGTCTCAGCAGGGGCTGTGCTCCAGATGCTCTAGGAGGGAGCCCGGTGCAGCCTGCCCAGGACAGTGGTGCCTCAACACCTTGGTACCTGCCTAGGACCTGGGAGTCATTAGCACCATCTCTACCCAATTTCTGGGCTCCCTCCACCTGCTCTGTGTCCCTCTTGTCCCCTGCCCCAGACCTGGTCGAGGCCCAGCAGTGACATCAAGCCACTGTCCACAGGCCCTGCATGGGGTGGCCTGGACCCATGAAGGCATGAGTTCTGCCACGCTCCTGCCTAGGCCTACTGTGGGGTCCCAGCCAAGCATGAAGATTCCCTGCAGCTCATGCAGGAACCATTCTCCGAGGCTGGGATCAGGATCCCACCCATAGCCTGTAGCATTGCTGTGCTCCATGCAGCTGACTCACAAGGTGAGGAACCTGTGAACCAACCACGACGACCAGGGGGCCACAAGCACCTCCTTTTGGCCCTGTTCTTCAGTGACAGTGTCCTCCCTACTCCTGGGTCCAGTCAGGATCAGGAAGGTGACATCCTTGGGGACCAACCCTCCGGCATCCCTTCCCTTCCTGCTGGGTACCCCTGCCCTGCAGCCCTTGACCCCCTGGTGGTCCAGAAGTGCCAGGTGGGCATTGCCACATTTTCCTCCATACCCAGCAGCCCAAGCTGGGCTGGGTGAGCACTGAGGGCCTGTGCAGATGGCCCCAGCCCAGGTGCCCCTCCTGGCCACTGCAGGGCCCAGTGGAAGGTGAGAGTAGACGAAGGAGAAAGTGGCTACCCCAGGCAGCATCGCTGAATGGAGAGATGGCCAGCAGGGGCAGTTGGAAAGTGTGGGAGAGGCTGCCCAGCCTGTGCTGGCCAGTGGACTGAGGGCACTAGTCCCCCACAGACTGCCTGGACCTCCACAAAAGGGGCTGTCTCCTGACCAAGTAAGAGCATGGGATGTCATCACTGTCTGTGGGCAGGTGGCTGCCTGGGGTGGCCTGTGGGGACAGGAGGGGCACCAGTCTGTGCCTCGAGTGAATTGGGCATCTATGTGGCTCCTGCTGCTGGACCTTACCCTTGCCTAACCTGCTTTAATTTCTGCTCAAGCCCTAACCTCCAGCTTCACCCTGGCCTCCTGGCCTGAGGCCCCCAGTACCCCAGAGCTGTCCTCTCAGTCCAGCACCCCCAGGGGATACATGGAGGCTCATGGGTCCCACGGGACCTACAGTTACACACAATGGCCCTGGGCCCCTCCAGTGACATCACCCTCCCTGTGTCATTGTTGCCCTAGCCTGAGGGCCTCCAAGCAGCTGGGTGCTGGGATGGATACCTCAGTCCTGCATCTGTCCCCCACAGCCTCTGAAATTGAGGAGCCAGTGACCTCTTGGCCAGGTTTCAGGTTCCAGGTCCCAGCTTCTGCTTCTAGCTGCTTCCTGAAAGAGGCCAGTAGGAGGGTGGTGGCGCTGGACCTGTGCCCGCAACAGGACTTGGCCATAAACCTGTGGGGCGAGGCTGTGGGGTGCACACTGACCCCCCACATGGACTTTCCTCCTGCCTGGCCTGCAGCTGTTGCCCTTGCCAGGAACTGGCACTTTGTTTGTTCCTTGAGGAGCTGCTGGCATCACCTGCCTGAGCCCTGCACCCACTCGCTCTCCTGGCAGCGGGCACGGGCAGCTTCTCCCCTGGCTGCCCCAAGCTGGGCAGAGCCTAGCCTCAGCCTGCTCAGTGCCTGGCCATGGCTGGGTGGCAATGGAAACCCTCCAGGGCACACACTATCTCAGCTGCCCTGTGTCCTAGGGTCCCTGCATCATTTTTTTGGGGGGGGGTTCCAAACCCTCCCACAGCAAGCTGGGAAGTGGCCAACTCCATGCCTGCACAGAGTCTGCCAGCTGGCAGGTCACCTCAAAGACAGCAGGGCCGGAGGTGCAGGGGTGTCTATGTGCCTTGGTGGTGGTACCGTTTCCACCCTGTCGGGCTGGAGTGTGAGTGTTGCACACCCCAGGAAGAGCCCAGCACCATGGCTGCAGCCCTGAGCTGCCTGCTGGTTCCCTGGGGAGGATTTCGCATTGCCCAGTGCTGGTGGCCTTGGTGCTGGGGACAGGTGGTGTGAACAGCCTGTGGTCATCTCTGGACATGTCCATACTCCTGGGTGGAAATAATGCCACCCATGTGTGCTCTGAAGACATTTCTGGGCAGCCTGGAACTGACATTAGTGACTGTGTGGGAGGCGGCGTGCAGAAGACCCACGATGCCCGGCATCTTTAGACCCATGCAGAAGCCTCAGAGTCATGTGAGGGTCCCCTGACCTGCACTGGGCACTGGCTGGAAGTCCCTCACGTCCCTGTGCAGGGCAGTACCTACTCAGGGCGCACAGCCCGGTGCTAGCCACAAGCTTGGCAGAGGGGAGTACACAGCACACCACTCTGCTTGCTGGCTTCCGGCTTTTGTTTTTTACTTACGGAAGTTTTCCTATAGGAGTGTTATCTATGCCAGCGTGGAGTGCTGAGGTCGCCCCCAGGTGGAAGAGCTGGTGCCCCTGACACCTCAGCCGCAGCTGCCCCTGGGCTGGGCTCTCCCAGAGGTCACAGCAGGCCAGTGCTCAAATTCTATTACCAAAGATGATGATTTTTCTCTCTTTAAAAATGCTCTTGTTTTGTATTGTGATAAAATACACCTGGCATAAAATGTCCTCTCTCAGTCATGCTTAAGTGCGCTTGGGGCATCGAGCCCGTCACCTGCAGGGCTCTCTCCTCTCTGCCTAGACACTGGCCCACCCAGGCCCCTCGCCCATCCTGCTCTGTCTCTGTCCCTAATGCCTCTGGGGCTCTGTGACTCAGATCATAGAGGACCTGTCCTTGGGGACTGGCTGGTTTCAGCGCCGTGTCCTTGAGTCCATCCAGGCTGTAGTGGTGCCAGGCCTTCCTCCTCTTTAGGGCTGAATGATATTCTACCATGTTCCTGGCATCCCACAGCTTCTGTTCATCGGTTCGTGGATGTTCCGTGGCTTTCTCCTCTTGGCTGCTGTGAACCACAGGGCTATGAACATGGTGTGCAGGTCCTCGTTGGCCCTGGCCCTCATGTTCTGGGGCCTTGGCCCATCATAGAAGTCTGGGTTCCCCACGGTTCTGTGGTCAGCCTCAAGGCTGTGCTCACGTCTCTGGGCCTCACTGCTGCTTGTCACATTTGGTGGCTGGTGGCTTCCATGTCCTCAGAGGAGCCAAGGAGTTGTGCAGGCCGGGTCCCTGCACATGCATTATCCCTTGCCTCCCCTTGGAGCCTGTCCCCAGTGCCCATCTGGTCCCCAGGGCCCTGCCGAGGGATCTGGGTACCCAGACCACGCTGTGGGCTCTGGGGCTGGGCTGTCCATGGCTGGTGTCTTGGAGCTCAAGTCCGGATTCCCGACCAGAGCGCAGAGTGTCCAATTCTAGTCTCTGGCTGGACTCTGGTGCTGGTCCTAGGCTCCCCCACCCAGGGTGCTGTCCTCCCCCTTCCTTGTGTGAGTGTGGGGACAGTTGCTGAGACTGGACATGGACCAGGGCTTCACATGCTGCCATGTAAGTAAGCCTCAGCTCTCTGCCCTGCTTGCAGTGGACACTTGTGGGCCCTGCCCACCTGTGACACAAGGGAGCCCTCCGCTCACAGTCCATGCAACCTCATTTCTACAATGCAGTCCCAGAATATAGAGAGTGGGTGGCCAGGAGGCCCCTAGGCCCCAACACCAGAGGCTCTGCCTTCTGAGGCTGTCCCAGCCCTACTAAGCAACTGTTGACATTGTGCTTTTTTGTTTTTGTTTTTGAGACAAGTTCTTACTATACAGTTCAGGTTGGACTTGAACTCACTATATAATAAGCCCAGCCTAGGCTGGCCTCAAATTAGCGGTGACCCTCCTGCCTCAGTCTCCTGAGTGTTGGCATTACAGAGGTGTAACACCTCACCTATCAAGCTGTGGACAACCTGTGGGAGGACAATAATACACTCCAATTCTTTTTGTTGAATAACATGTAGCTTCCTGAACAGAGAGTGTTCTGTGTGCACAGGGAACATGTAGAAGACAGATGTGTCAGGAAGGCAGCTGCATCCCCCGTCCTCCATTGGGGAGCTGTGTTGGGTCTGCAAGGCCAGTTGGGGTTCTGGTCCCTACTCTGTGATGGGCTCGGGTGGCACTGCCTTCACTGGTGTGAAGGGTTTTAACAACTTGCTGTGAGCCCTTGGCCACTGGCAATTATCACCACCCTGGTTATCACTGTGGATTACTTTATAGCTCTTTCCCCCACTGCGCACGGAGGAAATGAAAGCAAACATCAGATCTTCACTGGGAATGGCTTTGATGGTTGTGGAGTGACCCACGTCACAACTGTGTGGCCCTGTAGCCACTGGCCTGTTAATGGACAGCTGGACAGCAGCAGCTTGGGCAGCAGAGTCTCTTCCTGGAAGTGAGGTGACACTGTGGCCTGGCACCAGGGGCTGGACCTGGGCTGCGACCTGGCTGCCCAGCCCTCCGCCTCCTGGACAGCTGGGTCTCCCAAAATCTGCGTCCCCCTCGGAGCTGGTGTCTGGGAGGCCTGAGGGTTTGCACGGCTTCCTTTTCCCCAGGGCAATGTCCCGGTAAGAGCCCCTATCCCTTGGGGAGGTCGGGGGAAGAGCAGCAGACTGTCCCAGGGTCCTTCCTGGCAGGGCCCCTTTGGACAGTCCCTTCCCCTAGTCCGACTTGCCCACTACCCTGCACAATGTCCAGGAGGGACAAGCCAAAGCCCTGCCAGCTGTCATCTGGGGGACCCTTGGGACAAGAGTTAGAGACAGCCAGATAGGTTTTGGTCCTGTCACCACAGTTCAGGATGAGGACTGCAGGCTGGGCCCCTTTCCTGTATGTGCGACATCTTCCACACTCCACTCTGGGGCTGCCAGGCCCTACAGGGCGCTGGTGGGGCTGGGGCAGGGCTCCTTTGGCTCTGCCCACCCACAGTGGTGCCCCAGCACCAGCTATGGGTCTAGCTGTGGTGCACTTGGGTGCACCAGCTCTTATACTTTGCTTGTGTCCCGAAAATTTGCCTGAGATTAAGATTAAGGGTAGTGGACTAATTAATCTGGCAGAAGAAATTTCAAGGCAGTTGAATGTTGAGGCTGTGGTATGACTATTGTTGGGGACTTTTAGCCAGATTCATGTTGCAAATCAAGAGCAAAGTGCCCAGCAGGATTATTTAAAACACTATGAGTGTGGCCAGAAAGGAAGCTCCATTAAAGCTGTGGACTGCAAAGACTAGCTGAGGAAATCTTGATTTTTGAGAAAGAACAGAATAGAAAAGATAGCCTGAACGCATCACAAAAAGCAGTAAATCTTGAACTTTTGCAGCCTCAAAATTGCAAAAGTGAAGGACTTTGATTTGAGGAAAAAGCCTCAGAGCACCATGTTCCAGAACAGTGGCAACATAAAACATTTGTTCCGCAGAACTGGATTCAGAGTGCCCAGTGATCCAAGCACTCGGTCCCTACAGCCAAAAGAGAGGAAAGCCTGGCTACCGCTCCAGCTGACAGCAGAACTTGGCAGCATCCACGTGGCGCTGGCTTTAGTCACACAGAATGCAAGAGTTCTGAGGTTAAAAGGACTTTCACCCTGATTTCAGAAGCAGGCCGGGGAGCCCATGCAGTGTGTCCCTGAGAGGGAACTGTGTGAAGCTGTGAGTGTGAAGACAAAAATACAATGGAGACCCCTGAAATTTGGAAAAGCAGGAGTGTGGATCATTTAAGGAAAGCTGCAAGGAGGGAGCCAAGCCAGCCCAAGAGAGAAGCTGTGGGAGCTACTACCACCAGAAGTGCCATAGGGGTGGAGTCACACAAGCCCTTTGGAGCTCACAATTTGATACAGATGTTTCAGGTGCTGGATGTGGGACTACGCTTGCCTTGCTTGATTTTGGACTTGCTTTGGTCCCAATCCTTTGTATCCCTGTTTGTAAATCTTGGAATGGGAATGTTATCTTTTGCCACTGCATGTTGGAAATGTTTAACTTTGTTTTCATTTGTACAGGTAGTTGCAGCTAAGAGTTTGCTTTATATATTGGAGGGACTTGGACTTTACAACAATGCTAAAACTGTTAGGACTTTGGCAACTTTTTCAGATGGACTAAATGTCTTTTGCATAAAGGCATGTGCATGGGTCTTTGGAGGGCCAGGGACAGAATTTTATGGTTCCAAAGTAATACAGTATTGATAGACTTAGTACTGGTTCTTAAGGATCACTAAACTGTGCTGTAATGTTCAAACTGTGAAATGCTAAGCATAAGTGTAGCCTTTGTATCTGGAGGCTAGTTTAAAGAAATATGTCTGGTTGCCAAGTTGACAAGGGGTGGATTGTTATGGTTGATACATTGTGTCAACTTGAGAAGTCTAGACCCTTAAAAGACTCAACAGGAAGCCAGGGTTCTTTGTAAACATCCTGAGCCTGTGCAAGAGGAGGGCAAGGAGATTTTGTGAGCACTACACTGGCCTTGGGAGTGGGGGTAGCCTGTGTACAATACAAAGGAGAAATAGAGGCTTTCTTTTCCCTTCTTTACTCTAGCAGTTTTTGCTGTCTTTTTTGAGTTGAACTGTTGCCCCAGTGCCTTGCCACCCTGCCTTGGAGCCAGCTGATTATGGACTGCAACCTCTACACACTATAAGCTAAATAAACTGCTTAATTTGGGGTGTTGGGTATTTTGTCTCAGCAGTGAGAGAAAAGTAACTGAGACACCTCTGGACCCAGGTCTGCAGCGCCACCTGCATTTACCAAAGGGGTCACTTTGTATCTAGATTCTCCCCAGCCAGGCTAACGCATCCAGGGTGTCAGGGCATCCCACTGACTCCTGTGGGTGCTGAGGGGGTCTGTGCATGATGCTGGGTATGGAGACACCACAGCTGTGTGGTGTCCACAGCTGCTCAAGTCCACAGCTGTTCCACCAGAAGAAGTTTGTGAGTGCAACCATGGTGGAGAGGAGTGAGGGACTTCCTCAGGGATCAGTGCTGGACCTGCGTGGCCCAGTGACCCAGACAGAGGAAATGGGACATATGCATTACAGAGGACTATGGGTCTGTGCACAGCAGTGCAAGTCATAGCCACCAGGAAATGGGCTTAACACATGTGGCCACTGGGGAGGCACCGGTGACAGGGATGTGGTACAGCATGCAGCAAGCATCCAGCAGCTATGTGAAGGAACTGGAGGCCACTGTGGTATAGGAAAGAAGCTGGACACAGAGAGACAGATTGGAATCCTAAACAAAGGTTACCTCATGCTAGAGAGTGGGGTGGGGGGGGTCCCAGGGCCAGGGTGGGTGGGACCAGGCTCAGGCTGGTCTGAGGACACAAACCTCCAGGTGGCCAGCAGGGAGGGTTTGGCGGCTCACTGGCCAGCATGGTGAGTGCATTAGTGGCACTGTGCTGCAGCGTGGGGCCCTCAGGAGAGCGGGTGTAAAGGTTCCCCATAACCACTGCAACACATGCATTGTCCCCCATGGACTGAGCGTGATCTCACCTCCAGCACACGTCCCAGACGTCACACTGTGTATGCAAATGTACATAATAGGAGACGGGAGATGGGTTTGTAAGATGGAAGCCTTGTTATTTCTCAGGGTCCACAGGCCACTAGATTTGGCCTTCCTGGACCCCCCTTGCACCCAGTCCTCTTGGTGCCCAGGTTCACCGTGGTGGCCAGTCCCGCAACTTTGCACCCTGTCCTGCTGACTTGGTGGCCAGGGAGATGTTGGGGTGGTCTTGATTTTCGTGTGGCCCTGGGCAGCAGCACCTGTCACACAGGAAGCAAGGCTGCCACTCTGGGTGGGGCAGTGCGGCAGGGAAGAGAAGCCACTGGTACCCGAATCCCCAGACCTTTACCCCTGGCACCCTTTCGGGCTCCACAGTTAGGCCTGCAGTTCTCCCAGGGCTGTGAGACAGATCCTGCTCAGGAATCTGAGGATGCGATGGTGACCAAGGAGCTGTGTCACGGCACTCTGGGGCAGGAGTGTGGTGGTTGGGACCAGGTAGCTGGCTGAGCCCGGCAGTGTCACTATCTTGGGGCCTGGGTGTGGTCTCTGAGGTCAGTGGGTGGCTGTGCTGCAGGCCCTCATGAGGACAGCCCACGTGAACATGCAGGAACCCCGGGAGCCAAGGGCCACGGTGCTGGAGCCTCTGCCCTCCACCACGGGCTGATGAATGTCTTGTCTCTTGGTCCACACACTCTGTGACAGTTTCTCTGTCTCTTGTGATTTTGGCATGCGAACGTGCTGGTGGGCAGTTTGGAGCCGCCCTCTGCCGAGCGTGTCGGGGTTTTCTTGTGGTCTGAGCCGCGGTCATACATTCTGGCAAGTGTGTCGCGGGGGGCTGGATGCTCACCATGCTTGATGTGGAGTGTCCATATGTGAGGGCGCCACCGAAGCCCAGGGCAGGGTACGTGAACTTCGGTCACCTGGCCTAGATGCTGTCTACCAGGTTTCTCATAGCAAAGCTGCTGTTTTCCACTTCATAACTGTGAATACACTGGGGAGGTTTTTTGAGTTTATGTGAATAACTTGTTTTTCCTCAAACTTTAGCCTACTGATTTTTGGATCTTTCAGGAAACAGCACCACAGCCACTGGCACCCTGAGCATGGGTGGTGACTTCCTACCTCCCTCATTTTTTCTGTTACTTAATTGAAAATCTTCGATAAAATGAGCTGTTTCATGTTTTCAGGTATGTACGTGGTCATTTGCATCACTGCTGATTCAAAGCTATGTATTTTATTCTTTGGGCTGTCATCCTGTGTTGTCTTCGCTTTGCTGCTGGATTTGGCTGCTGGGCACCTGGCACCGTGCCCCACCTCACCCCATTCTGTGCTGTGCCAGTGTGACCTGCAGCTTCCTGAGATCCAGCTGAGGGCATTAGATGTGCTCATTACAGCTGGTGTCACTGCTAGCCGGCCTTCTAGGGACACCAGAAAACTACTAATCTGTATGCACATGTGGGCACACACACACACACACACACACACACACACACACACACCACTATGTTCTATCTACATTCCTACATCTCTCTATCATCTCTCTATCCCTCTATCTATCATCTATCCATCTGTCTACCTAATGTATGTATACTGTCTACCCATCTATAATCCATCATCCATTCATCAAACAGCCATCATTTCCTACCTATCTATAATCTGTCATGTATCAATCATCTGTGAGTCAATTATCTACCATCTATAATCTACAATTTACCTATCAATCATCTATCAGTCATTTATCATCTATCTACAATCTATCAATTATCTATCTATCTATCTATCATCTCTATCTATCTATCCTCTGTGTAATGCTTACTTCTGAAGCCATAGGTTTGAAGAGTGCTTTGTTATACAGCAATAACTGACTGATACATGTGGCTAGGACTTTCCAAATGATATTTCCAGCCTCCCTGCCAGATGGCTTCCTGAAAGACCCTGTGAGGAGGTAGGGAGACACAGATTATTTTTTGTTACTTGTTTCAGTCTCTGCAGCCTCAGATTGACCCTTGCCCACCCCAGCTCCACCACCGCAGCTCTGTCACACTCCTGGAGGGTCCTCTCCTCTGCTCTGGGTTCTGGCGGCCACACCTCCTCCCTAGTGTTCCCAACCTGTGGTAGGAGCTCTCCCGGTCACTCACAGTGCTGGTGCTTCAGTGTCCATTTTGCTTGTCCAGCCTTCCGTGCCATGTCAAGATCTGTGCACCAGATCCCTCGTGTGAGGTGCTGGTGTGACTTACTGTTCCTGCTGGACAGCACTGATGCAGGGTGGGTCCCGGGCTGGCCACAGGCAGAGGCTGGAGGAGGCCAGAGAGCAGACAAGGAGACAGAAGCGTAGGGGGAGGAGGTCATGTTAGTGGGACCTGCTAAAGCAGTACCTGGGACGTTTGTAGCACTGAACGCTCTGTTAGAATGAGTGAGGTCTCCCAGCCCTCACTTTCTACCTTAGGAATCAGGAAGGAAAGGTGGAACATGCCAGTAATCCTAGTGCTTGGGAGGCTGAGGCAGGAGAATTGCCATGAGTTCGAGGCCAGCCTGGGTTACACAGTGAGCCTTGTCTCAAAAAACAAAACAAAATTCAAAAACAAAATAAGAACAACAACATGGAGAAGCTACGATAAAAGAGCAAATCAAGTCCAAAATAAGTAGAAAAAGGAAAATCTTTGGTGGAACAGTACAACAAACCATGAGGGAGAAGTGAGTGAACCCTAAGGCTGGTTCGATCTGCCTTGACTGCTGGGAGAGAAGGGAAATGTGAGGACCACAGGTGACAAAGGGTTTGGCACACAGCCTTGTGCAAGGGTGCCCAGCCACCGGGTGAGATGGGCAAACACCTTTGGACATGAGGTATCAGACTCACCCAGGAAGACATAACCATGGTGCCCTGCAGAGTAAAGGAACAGAGCTGAATGAAAACCAAAGCAAACCAAACCTCCCCGCGCACATGACTCTCCATGGAATTCAACAAGGGCTGAGGAGGGAATAAACCGACTCTGCACACTCTTCCCAGAGTGAAAAGGGACGCCTGGAGCCCTCTGTCTGAGGGCAGCAGTGCCTGTGCAAATGCCACACACGGACATTCCAAGAAAAGAAAACTGGGGGTCAGTGGTCCTTGTGAACTCAACGCAGAAATTCCAAGTAACATTTTAACAAGCTACACTCAACAATGTGTTAAAAAAGTGAAGTTTATTACAGGAAAGTAGCATTGTTTTAACATTAAAAAGTCAACATCACTGATCACATTAAGTGACTAATGGTAAACAAGATGATCATCTCAGTAAACACAGAGTACACTCTTGAAGAAATCAACTCATCCCTGATAAATACTCTAAGCAAACTAAAAATAGCAGGGAGCTCCCTCCTTCAGATAAGGTGCTTCAAAAGCCCTGCAGCTGGCACACACTTGAAGACACAGGAGTCAGGAGAAGACCAGGGACCTACTTTCACCACTTCTGCTCGTCACAGCGTGGAAATCAGCCAGCACACTCAGGGAGGGGGCCCAGGCCTGTAATCCAGAACGTTGGGAGGCTGAGGCAGGAGAGTCATAAATCCAAGACCAGACTAGGCAACTTAGGGAGACACTGTCTCAAAAGATAGGAGGCAGGGCTGGAGGACTGGAATGTAACGCAAACGAAACCATCTGGATTGAAAAGAAAGTGAAACTGTCATCTGGATTGAAAAGGAAGTGAAACTGTCTATAGTCACAGACATGGTTGTCTGTGCAGAAAATAGAAATCTACAAACAGCTACTATCATGAATGGGTGAGTTTATTGAGATTGTAGGTACTGTAGGATCAACCGTAAAAATCAGTATTCAAAAGTAGGCACAGGACTTGAACAGACATTTCTCCAAGGAAGATGTTTGTGGCCAAGCACAAGCAGACACACTGAACAGGACTGGTCACTAAAAGAATGCAAGCTCTGTGGAAAAGAAGGTGACTCCTCAAAAGCCAAGCAGAGAATTCCTACGAGACCCAGCACCTCCGTTTTGGGGTGCATATGTGTATGAGGCACAGTAGAATGCGATGAAATTTTGAGAACAGTAGAAGACACGCTGCCTTCGGTGCCCGCAGATTGAGCGCGCTCATTCCGTCGTCCTCAACCCTCCCTGCAGCAGCTCTGCAGTCCTCTCTCCTGAGGGTCTGTGGTTGTGCTTCCCTGGCTGCCTCA